ATAAATATTTAAATAGGACCAACATTATCTTACTACATAAAAATTCCATCATAAAATATACCAAGAATCAAGAAAATTTAATTTGAATGCGATGACATAATTAACTAACTTTAAAACTCAGTTTATATTGTCCAAATTATCAAACAAGAACTTAAAATTCAAAAACCATAAAAATGTTTCAAAACTAAATCCTCTTAAATAGTTTCAAAGTAAAAGGATGGAGATACACATCTGTATCTGCATATAGCAGCCCATGCAAACTTTAAAATATGGAATTTTTTCTGGGAAAGAAGCATTTCATAATGAATAAAGAGACAACTTATCAGGAAAGTATAACAACTTAAATCAATATGTACCCAACAATAGAGCACAGAATATGCAAATCAAAAAAATGACAGAATTAAAAGGAGCAAGAGAGGTATGCAATTTTTTTAAAAAATTATTTATTTATTCTAATTTGTTATATATGATAGCAGAAGGCAATTCAATTCATATTACACATGTACTGCACAATTTTTTCAAATCTCTTGTTGTAAACAAAGTAGATTCACACCATTCATGTCTTCATACATGTACTTAAGGTAATGATGTCAATCTCATTCCATCATCTTTCCTATCCCACCCTCCCCTTTGCCCTATCTAAAGTTCCTCCATTTCTCCCATGCTCCCTCTGCCAACCCCATTGTGAGTCAGCATCCTCATATTAAAGAAAACATTCAGTCTTTGGTTTTTTGGGATTGGTTACTTCACTTAGCATAATATTCTCCAACTCCATCCATTTACTTGCAAATGTTTATAGTAGCACAATTCATAATAGCTAAATTGTGGAACCAATCCAGATGCCTTTCAGTAGATGAATGGATAGGAAAACTATGGTATATATACACAATGAAATATTACTCAGCATTAATAGAGAACAAAATCATGGCATTTGCAGGGGTATGCAATGTTAACAATTGAAGGCTTTCAAATCCTACATTCAACAATAGATAGAAAAGCTAAACAGAATGTCAGAAAATAAATAGAAACCTCTAAACCAACAATACCTGAAAATTTTTAGAATATTGTACCTACTATGACAGGGAGCAATTTTCTCTCAAGTGCATATGTATAATGTTCTTTAAGATAGACCAAATTCTAGGTCAAAAATAAATCCATAAATTTAAATGGATTGAAATTATGTATAACCGTGTATCACCTATCTTCAGCTAATGGAAAAAAAAAGGAAATATCTACCTGATTCTCTCTGTCAGATGCTTTCAGAAGACATACTTTGTGAGACCAAAACACAAGATTTTGGTCATCTTCATATTTTATCTTTCTATAAAGAGATAACTGTTTATGTACCAATTGTAGGTCATAATTGTTTCACTTCTATTTTTAGTCAACAAAATATTATTAGATTGATGGTTTATATGTTTTCATTATTGGAATTACTGCAATTTAGTAATAATAAATTGAGTGAATTCAGAGAATTTTTCTAAAGATTTCATGAACAAAATTCAGACAGTCAGGATAAGAGGTACAATATGTAGACTATATTTTGGATCAAACTTTGTATGATTTGATTCATCTGAAGCCACTGCTTTGTTGTAAAAGATAACGGGTCTCTTTCCAAATACAAGCAGATATTCATCCCCTGAAAGATTCACTGAAATAGCCGTCAAATTCTATATTTTCTTGTGACAAGATGACAGTGGCAGACAAAAAAAACATCTGTCCTGCTACCAAACATGAGTTCAAAGATGCATCATCTATAAGGGAAAACAAAAAGCAATTGTCGCGACCCCTTGCCCGCAAGGAAGACGCAACTCAGGAATCTTCTTTCAGCAGTTTATTCAGGCCCTTGATATTTCTTCTTCTTCTTCTCGGATGCCCCTCCCAGCCTTAATAAAGCATCCCAAGCCCCAATGCAAAGCTGCCGCGTGGAGCTTTCTCACAGGGTGGTGAAAAATCATGTGCCAACTCTCCCAGATAAGGAGTTGTTTGTCACAGACCACAGCGGAGCCAGCGTCATCTTGTAATGGCGACCATAATCTGCAGAAACGGCAGAAGCGGCTCACCACAAGCAATAATATAAAATTTCGAGGAATAATCACCTCTATGCAGAGTCTTATTCAAATACCAAGTAACAAAAATAAATGAAACCCTGTGTACTGTTTTACTGACATCTTCAAGCAAACATTGGATCTACCAAGGATAAGGCTTTGACCAGGTCAAGATATACCATGGTAACACAAAGAATCTGCCTATGAAAACATACACTACAAAACACTGATGGAATGCAGCCATTGGTTAGAATTGACACATGTGCATTGCCAACTGTAGAAAACAAAGGTCTCAATACTCTCACGCATATACTCAATCAATCTAGAAAATAAACACATAAAATTCTCTACAAGGTTTGCAACAGTGATTGTCTTTAATGAAAAAAAAATGAATTTAGAAATTTTCCTAAATAAAACTGGCTAAGATCGTTCATACAAATCACATAATAGTACACACCTTCAAATAAACATGTTTTTAAATTGATGGAAACTCTAGGCCATTTTAATAAAAAATGTTCAGATATTACATGATAAATCTAAGATGCAGCTGTCACAGTGTGTTTGAACAGACATCATTATCACAAATAATGTTGGAGGGAAACATAGTGCCTATAAGGAATGGCCTAAAGGCACCAGTGATCTTTAGTTCTCCAGGGAGATCAGAAGACCAGTATCCTCCTTGGCAGTCTGGTTGGTAATAGGCAAATAAGTATCCCTCAGACCACAACTACATCAGGTCACCACAGTAGATGCTATAGAAGTTCATGGTATCAGGAGAGGAAGACTCAGTTGTACAGCAGGGGCAGGCTCTAGGGTTTTAAGTTCATAACATGCACAGGGCTTTGTAAACCAGCTGAGTGGTATGTGGGGCCAACCATAGGCACTGTTGGGTTCACATTCTAAACTAATTAGCATTGAAGCCATCTAAAATAGTTCTTGGCACCAACATACCCAAGATAACTTTGCTATTTGTGTGTGAAGACATAGATAATGATATGATGTATCTTTAACAAGAGACTCCTCTGTTTTGGTGACTTATTCATTCCAAATGCCAAATTTAAATTATATTATTAGCTACTGTGAGATCATAACCAATACAGATTTCCCTTCTTGCAAGTCTTTTTTTTTTTTTTCACTTTTAAAGGTATCCTCCTTTGTATCTTCACATATGTAGTCTTTGGAATGAAAGCATGACTTTAAGACAACAGGGAAGGATGGGAATCTCGTGGAGGAAAAGACAAGATTCCAGATTTGATTTGTAAATTCTTGAATTATGATGTTTTATTATTTTCTTGTGAAGCAACATCATTCACTTTGATTTATCCTTCACATGTATACACCCTATAATTTTGTGTAGAGTCCAAAGCAATGGCACAGTCAGTCTCTGAAATTTCAGCAGATGGGCCATGGTTATACACAAAGGGTTATATTCAAAATTTGTTTTTGTAAGACTTGCATTTTATTGTCATCATAATTATGATCCAATGAAATAGACACATCTCTTCTTTGTGTATTCTACCCAAAATGTATAGCTATACCTAGTGGTAAGAAAAGGAGAAGCTCAAATTAAAACATTCTATAAAGCATTTCCCTTCAAATTTGTCAATATAGCTAAAATCAAGCAAGACTAAAAATTTGTGGCTAATAAAAAGATGTGCCAAACAAATGACAAGTGAAATCCTAGATTGGCACCTGGGACAGAAAAATAGATAGCAGTGGAAAATGGTGAAATCTGAATAAAATTGTTGCTTAGTTAAAAATATTGTAAAGGATTAATTTTTCAGTTTTTGAAAGTATATTATGAAAGATAAGAACTGAGTGAACAGTGGAGATCAAATCTCTTTGACTTTTCCCAAGTCTAAAATTATTTCAAAATAAGGTTGGAAAGGAATTTTTAATTGCAAATTAAATGCAATGCTTTGGTCATTGATTAATTCTTTCATGTATCAGATTTTAAGTGATCATTTGTATGTTGGACACTATTGTAAAAGGTGTGTGTTGGGGGAGTTAACAGAACAGAAAAGGTCCCTATTGTTACAGATCTTAGATAAGCCAAGGGGACAGGTACTTCTAAATATGTGGTCAAGAAATACCTCTCTGAGAGAATAAGAGAGAAGGGAAGAGAAAGATTTTGCTGTTACTTTCAGAGGGGAGTAACTCAATGGCAGAAGCTTTAATCAGACATAAATTTGATCATTCTGAAGAGTCTGCAGGCTACTGTTATCTGTTTACCATTATAAGAAACAGTGTTTAAAAATCTCTCCTACATAAAGCCAAGGCTGTTGCAGTGCGAGCAATAAAGGTCATGTAATCCAAGCCTCAGGTGCCAGGCCTAGCAATGAAAATTACAAGGTATGCAGTTATACTTGATTTTCAGATAAATAATGTTATATGCATTTCCTAATACAATATTTGAAAGGTTCACATTTTGAATATTAATATTCCAAAATTTGTATTTAACTGAGTGTCTACTATAATATAGACAACTATGTAGAAAGGCATTAAAGAATTTTTTTTCAGCATAGGTTCTTGGCTGAATGTATCCTGCATATATTCAGATGTAGAAAAAATGAATAAAAGAGATTTGGGAGCATGGAACATTGTGAATTTAGCATCTTGATAATTTTAACCATTTGAGGACATGTCAAGTGATAATTTAGAGATAGATATCTATAGATCAGGATTGGAAATATGTTGTGAGATTAATACTGCAGAAGTATATATCCAACTAGAGAGAGCTAAAGTAGAGAATATAAAGTGACTAGTACCTGCATGGTCTCCTTCCTATTTGAGGGTAAAATCTGAAGAAAATAAAAGAGAAAAGTTACTGAACAGGAACAGCTGGTGAGATTGTAATTAAATCTAATGTTTGAAGGAATATGAAGGGAAAAGCTGGGTAGATTTTTAGGAATGAAAAAAGAGTTTGATAAATCTCAGCACAACTCAGGCAAGATGGAGGTTTTAGTGATCCTTGTAAGAGGAGTTTTTCAGTGGAGTGGTACGAACTAAAGCAAAAAGATGTGAGAGAGAGGAGACTAAAAATACACCATGGGAATACATGTGAAATTGTGTGATGAACAGAAAATAAAGATTTTTCTGTCATTTCTCCTTTTGCTCGCATCCCCCTCCCCCACTGTGAAATATTCTTAAGAACTCAATATAGATCAGAAAATCCTAGCAGGAAAAAAGTTAAATAGAAATCTCATTGGGTTAATGCTTTGCTATTATGATTAGAGAGAGGAACTTAATTCTTCTGAAGAAAGAAATTAAACTTCAAGCAGGAAGTTCGGTAGAGAAATAATTTAGTAAACATTATTAGGGATATTATATTTCACAAAATGTCTTCACAGCTATTTTGGTTTAATGCAGAAAAAGTTAATTACAGATTTTTAATTGACAGATTCAGTATACTTATGCCAATTTCAAGTAATTTTTCTAAGAACTTAGCCAACAGGAAGACTGACCATCATGTTCCTTAAGTTAGTATTAACCAAAAGATTATTCTAAGCTATTTCTTCATTAACTTTGCACTAGGATAACTTGAGAACACTCTTATTATCTCTATGTGAAATATGAAAATGATATAGTGAAGATATTCTCTAATTCTATCACTTCAAATCAGCCAGTATTAATACAATAAAATGTCATAATGTGTCTATTTAAAACAATTAATCTATCAAGGGATACACATGGAAAGAACAATCATAAACACGCATTAGATGAATATGTGTTTGATCTAATCATTGCTATGATTGTGCAGGGCATGTGTATGTGGGTGCACGCATGTGTGTATTCCTTGGTATTTCTTGGTTTTAATGGTAGGAGGGATTAAACCCAGGGCCATGTGCATGCCAGGCAAGCATGTACCACTGAGCTTCATAACCAGCCCACCATGAAAGTATTTTATTAAGACACATCTTTTTTTTCATTTGATATAAATAAGGTGTATTGGCAATCTGGATAATATCATTCACTCACATTCACACTTCTATAGACATGAAAGTACATTTTTCCACTAAAGTGCAGATCATTTCCACATTCTTCTGCATCCAATAGGAGTAATTACCAGAATGAATTTAATGAAGACAGTAATAATTCTTGGGCTATTCAAGTGAACTCAGCCTATCTGTCACAAGTAGAATAGTAGCAGGATATCTTATATGAAGGCTTTAATATACTGATAAACATGAATTTTTATGATAAGCTCATTGAGAAATTAGTTACCTAGGATATAATGCTAATATTCACTGGAATATTAACTAATAACTGTATACTCAATTTGGAAAAATACAGGGAGAAATTGGATACCAGGGAATAACTTCCTTTTTATAATACTTCAACAGAAATTAAACATAAATGAGACTTACTCTCATTGTTATAAATGGAAAAGTCTAATGCATTGTGTTCAGATGTGGTTTTCTCAGAAAACTAATTACTTGGGTGATTATTAGCATCACGGGGTTGAAAGATACATTTGGTTTCAGCATAGAAAAGGCATTAAATACCAGATAAAGAAAATTAGTTTTCTTTGAGAGACAAGAAAAAGTCATGAGTCAAAAAAATAGTGTTTTAAAAAATGTTTTAAATGAAGAAAACATTGAGGTACAAAACAAATAGATTATGGTTCAGATTATTACTTCTTATGTAGAGGGTACTTAAAAGAGATTTTGAAAGTTCTGTTTGAGGCAGGATTGTACAAAGTTATGTGTCTCCTCTCATTGAAACCCTAAATAGGATAAGCAGATTCCAAACTAGAAACCAAACAAGCCAAGCCTCTTTAATGCCTCTGAGCCTTTATCTTATGGTCGAAAAACAACAAAATAATTAGATTAGTCATAAAATAGGGCGGTGGCATGAACACATGTGGTGGGTCCCACCCATACTGAAGGTATATAAAAGGCCTTCTAAGGGACACTTGTCCAGACTCGTCACCTACACTCCTCCTCTACCCAAGGACAAACTCTCCACTCAACAACCAACACCATGTGTGGCAGCTACTACGGAAACTACTATGGCGGCCGTGGCTATGGATGCTGTGGCTATGGAGGCCTGGGCTATGGCTATGGAGGCATGGGCTATGGCTATGGAGGCCTGAGCTGTGGCTATGGCTGTGGCTTCCGCAGCCTGGGCTGTGGCTATGGCTGTGGCTATGGATATGGCTCCCGGTCCCTCTGTGGCTGTGGTTATGGATGTGGCTCTGGCTATGGCTCTGGCTTTGGATACTACTGAGGAGGAAGCCTTGGGAGACTGTTTCAATACCTGTGACACAGGATTCTACCAATTTTGAACCCCACACATCCTGAACTTCATGCTTCGATGAGTACGATACGCCAAAAGTTCCAGATATCACCTTGCTGAAGATTTGCCCTATGGTGGTCCCTAGATCTGACTTCCCTCTTTGTCCTTCTGTGATTTGAACACACGAGTAGTGGAAGAGTATGAAATATATCCTGTGAATTCTGTATTGTCCCGGGGACTGATGCTATCCCAGACCCTGTCTTTTGATTTTTTTATGCAGGAGTATTTTCTTTATTTTCCCAATAAATGTGTTCAATCTGAAATAACATTTGTGTTTGGTGTTTTTTTTTTCATTCGAAATCTACTACTTCTTTTTTTAATTTAATTTAATTTTTTATTAGCTACACATGACATTACAATGATCTTGGCAATTCATACATTTGAATCATTGGGGTATAATTTCTCATTTTTCTAATTGTAGATTGCAGAATCACACTGGTCATAGAGTCACCTATATACATACAGCAATCATAATGTCTATTCTACTACTTCTTTTTCTGTTTGCATTAAAAGAAAAATCATCTTCTTTTTATTTCTAGAAATACATATGTTCATCTACTTTCCAAAAATGAATCTACCAATAGATAAATACAGAAAGAAAATTCAACTTTATAATATCCTTGATTTCTGACAATAGTATCTAATAATCTTGTAACCTACAACTTCCTGTTCTGATGAAGCAACAGTGGTATTATGATGGGTGGTTGTTAGTATGAAAGGAGTTAGTGTTTATCTATTTCATTGACCACTGTCTGAAAACTCTATACATTCCAAGGGCTGTTTACCAAATCTTGATCTGTGTGAAATCCTTTAGAAGATATGAATAATTACACATGATTTTGTATTTCTATTATTAATTTGGGGCATATTAAACAAGAGTTCGCTATGTTTTCCCAGAACATGAGATATAAAAGTTTACACTGATCCCTTTCATTTATTTTCTATATATGTTAATATAGTTTACATTTTTCTTGAAAAGGTGCCATCTTCTCTTAAATTCATTTACATGTTTTTAATTGTAGAACTAAAATCATGGCATTCTATATTCCTTTGTTTCTTGAAGGTTTAAGATTTTGAATAAAGTTTTAGAAATATAGGACCTATAATGGGCAGGAGGAAGAACAGAATTTCAGTACATTAGACAAAGGGGAATGAAGGGAAAAGAGTGGGAATTAGAATGGGAAAGACAGTGGAAGGAATCTGACAAAATTTTCCTATGTACATATATGAAAAATCCTAAGCAAACCCAATATCATATACATCCACAAGTATGGGTTCCTAATTAGAATAAGATATAATTGTGCATGCATAATTCCATCAGAATGGATTCAACTGTCATGTGTAACTAAAAAGAATCAACAAAAAAGGACCAATTACAAGACAAGGAACTAGTTTTACTTTATAGAATAATAGGGGTTATCTGATTAGCTCTCCCTGGAGGGCTGGGTCTGCAATCCTCAAGGAGTTTTCTCCTCTCAGTAGAGGAGTGGAGATGGCTGAGTCTGTAATGTCCAGGCCTGTGCAGACTGTTTCAATGGAGGGAACTAACCTCCCAGGCAGTGGGGGAGGGCTGGCCGGCCTTACCCCCGCTGTTGCAGACCAGCAAGCTGACCTAGAGCAAAGCTCTAAGAGGCAGCTTGAGCCCTGGACATTATTCCTATGAAGGGGAGATGGCTCACTGCACAGAGTTATGTGAAACAGAAGAGGGTACAGGAAACAGACATCATCACTAAGAGGCACGTGTGGCACAAAGGGATGTTGTGTATGTACACACAGGGGCTAGGAGGGCTACCTTAGCTACTTGTGGCTGGATGACTTTGTTCCTTGTTTTGTATTTTTCTGTTTCATGTAATGCACACATTAACTGAAAAAAAAGTCTTTAAAAAATATTTATAGGAGCTATCAAAACAATTAATATTCACAGCCCTGGAATAGCAAATAATGGGGGAGAATAAACTGATATAGAAATCTACTTAAAGAAATGATATTTTAAATGTACCCAATTCTTTAAAAGTCAGAAATATACAGAGGTAAAGGTTATAAACCCAATCAGATTAAACTCAAAGGAAATTATGTCTAGTTATATTATATTTGAGTTTTGGAAACCAAAAAACAAACATTTAAAAAAAACTTGAAAGCAGCTAATGATAAGCAACACATTACTTATAAGGAATAATGAATTACCATGGCTTTCTCAGGAGAACCTATACACTCCAAAGGGAATGAAAAACAACTAAACTGCTGATAGAAAAAAACCTAATACTCTATATCCAATAATAATACCCCTCAGGGACAAAAGTGAAATAATATCTTTCTCAGATGAAGGAAAAATAAGAGAAATTTGTGTTTACAAAATCTTTTCTAAAAGAAATGTTAAAGGAACTTTTTCAGGCTAAAAGAAAAATGATCCTAAATGGAAAGTTGGAACTTTAGAAACAAACAAAAAGAAATAGAAAATTATAAGCATTTGGTTAAATAGAATAGATTATTTTCCCTTATAATTTCTTTCAAATTCATGTAACAGGAAACAAAAAATTACAATATTGTATGAGGGAGTTTGAAGTTAGGTTGATGTATGACAAATATAACAATAAGAAGCAATAGTAAAAGTATCTAAAATGAATCTTACGCCTTTTAGCTAAAGCAAAATATGAATTCAGAACATTGTGAATGATTAGTTATGAAAATTATAATCACTGGAGTAATCTCCAAAATTAAAGAGATGTAGCCAAAAATATAATAGATAAATTAAAATATAATATTAAACCATTCACATATGAAAAATGTGGGCAGAGAAAATAGAAACAAATACTAAAACATTATTATGGTTTAGATATGAAATGTCTCCTAAAATTCACATGTAAGAGTTTTCTGACATACAATAATTAGATTATGTCAGGTGGAACCTGATCAGTGCATTAATCCACTGATATGGATTAAATGGGCAGTAATTATAGGCAGATAGGGTGTAATTGGAAGAAGTACATCTTTGGGTGAATTCTTTGAGATTTTTATTTTGTACCTCCTGAGGGGGACTTTCTCTTTTTCTCTGTTTCCTAGCTGCTGTGTCCTGAGCTGCTTTCCTCCAACACGCCCTTCCACCATCTCCTTACTCCATCTCAGAGCTGTGGAGCAGGCCAAGCATGGACTGAACCTGTGAAACCATGAGTCAAAATAATGTTTTCCTCCTCTAAGTTTTTCTTCTTTCAGGTGTATTGGTCACAGTAACAAATGTTGAATAAAATGAATAGTCTAAACAATTTCAATCAGAGCAATAACTAAATGGATGTGAATTCTCTAACTATATAATTAGAATACACAGATTATCAAATTGCCTAATATCAGATTCATCTATATATTGTCTATCAGAAAATATCTTTGTGTGTGTGTGTATGTGTGTGTGTGTGTGTGTGTGTGTGTGTGTGGTTCTAGGGATTGAGCTAAGGGGCACTTTACCACTGAGCTACATCCACAGTACTTTTTATTTTGAGACAGGTTCTTGCTAAGTTGCTTAGGGACTCACTAAATTGCAGAGGCTGGCTTTAAACTGGTAATCCTCTTGCTTCAGCCTTCTGGAGTCCCTAGGATTACAAATATGCATCACCATGCCATGCTAAAAAATAGCTTCTAATATGTAGTAAAACAAAAAAGAAAAAAGAGTGAAAAACTCTTAAAAATTTTTTCCTGTAATTACTGTTTCAGCAGTGTTCCAACATTTGTTATGTGTATGAAAAGCTGTACCATGCAAAGAGTAACCAAAAGAATGCAGATGTGTCTGTCTTAAAATCAGAACAATTACACTCATTATATGGAAAATTACTTGAAACTTTGTAGTTTTTACCTAATGTGCAATGACAATTAAAAATAATATTAAAATCTCAGGCAAAAACTCCCAGATACTTCTAATTTTATGTTTTTACATTTGATAATCAATACTTCTTAGTTTGGGTAAATATATGAACACATAAATATCGACTAGTCATTCCAACTAGAATCCATAAAAATTATCAATGGATATGGATCCTATCATGTAAAGAAAATTTCAAAATACCCGAAGCAAAAACTGAAGAAGTAATCACATGCACAACTATATTGGAAAATTTATCCATCTCTCTCTGTAATCAGTACAAATAAACAGATATTTAACATAGAAATTAGAAAACAATTAACTTCATATAATTGACATGTATACAGCACTCTCGAAGTGACCTCAGAATACAAATTTTGTGATATGTAACACATTCACTATGATAGATAATATTTTGTATAATAAAACAGGCAAAATGAATTTTAAAAGTTGAAATTATACAAAGTTTGTTACAAAATCATTAAGGAGTTAGACTACAAATCAATAAGGTAGCTGAAAATTCCATAATAATTAAAAAGTAAATGTTACTTTTATATAACAAATGAGTCCCTTGTTATAAAAAGAATATTTAAAATATTTTGAACTCAATGAAAGTGAATTTAGAATGTATCAAAATATATGAGATGAGAATAAAGCAGTGCATAAAGGAAGATGTATGGGGTTAAGTGCTTATATATTTAGAAAAAAGAAATTTCTCAAATTTGTAATTTAAGCTTCTTCCCAAATAATTTGTAATTTTTAAAAACAAAAAAAAGTAATACAAAAATAAACATCAGGATTCAATACAAATTGAAAGTAAGGAAAACAAAAAGTATAAATAAAGCCAAAAGTTGATTATATGAGAAGTTCAATTAAGTCAATAAATCTCTGGAAAGGCTAACAAAGAAACTGGAGACAAGACATATGCTGTCAACAGTAAGAATAAAAATGGACCATCACTATAGGTTCTATAGTAATGAAAAGAACGATAATGAAACAGAGGAAATAATACCGGTGCCCATAAATTCAACAACTTAGAAAAAGTTTTATACTGTTTTATACTGTAAAAGGCATAAAATACCAAAACTTGCTCAAAATGATAAAATGTCTGAATAGTTGCACAACTAACTGAATTATATAATTTGTAATTAAAATTCTTCCAACAATGAAAACTTCTGGCCCATATAATTCTGCTGAAAGGTAAGTCACATTTCCAACATTGTAACAAATATCTGAGTTAAACTTGTAAAGAGAAACAATTTTGACTCACAATTTAGGACGTTCTAGTCCATGATTAATATACTTTGTTACTTTGGGCCTGTGGCAAGGAACTGCATCATGG